GGGGCACCAAGAAAAAAAAAAGAGATATGACAGTATAGTATAGATTTTATTTTGAATTACATATGGGGGGGGGCACCATAATCTTTTCAGTCCTTAGGGCCTCTAAAGGTCTTAATCCGGCCCTGAGAGTGGCCTTGGGGAGAAGAGCATGCACTTCATGCTCAATAGCCGCCCTGTGCTGGGACTCCTGCCTGGAGAGGTGCCCTGTGAGGCAGGGAGTCCGGTTTTGTCATGGCAGTATGTTCGTCTGGCATGATTTGTAACTAGTTTAATAGATCAAGCCTTGCAGGGTTATACATGTCTACACGCGGATGTGGATATTGGCATTGGTATCCACCGATCTGCAAGGCTCTATTCCCAAGAGACATTGTGGTCAATAGGATTGTGGTCCACTTGCCACTCCTGGGAGCCAGTGCCCTGTGCCAGCGGCGCCTCCTGACAGTGAACTGTGCTCCACCCATCGATAAGTCTTGTTTGAGGTCGTACAGCTCTGTTGGCAGTGGGACAGTGAGCTGTATTGCCGCACTGCCTGGAGAAGCTGCCGAGTGTCAAATGTGGGGCATTGGCTCCTGGGAGCCACAGGATCACATTCCTCTTGGGGATAGAACCCTGCAGATCAGCAGATACCAATGTCTGTTCATGGATATTTGCATGTGCAGATAGACATTTGTATCTGTGCAGGGCTCTATTCACCTGTAGAGTATAAATAGCAATGATGGCATCAGGTTCATGGTCCTCTGCAATTCATCCATCCTCTACTTTAGTAATGAGCAGCCTAGGCTAGTGAGTGGCCCTCCTTCATCTCAGTGGGCCACAAGATTGTCGTAACCAAGATAGTCTCCTAGGGTAGGTTAGTTTTGCTAACTGCATATGCCTACCTGGAATTTGTGGGGTGTGTCAATTGAACTGCAGCAGTGCTTTGAATAGATGCAGAGGCAGTGTACCGCTGTCATAGTCAATGTTGTGTGTAATCAGCAGGCACCTCGCTTCATGTGCCTTTGCATTAGGGATGTGTAAGTGTAACCGGATACACGGTTAACTGATGAGCCTGGGCTCACTGGTTAACGTTCATGGTTATGCATTATACATAGGCTCCTGGTACAGAGCCAACTTTCCTCTTCACCCCAGGCAGCTTCTGATACAGAGGCAGCATCAGGAGGCAGAAAGAGGCAGGAGCCCATATGCATGGGGAGATGGTTTAAAAGCTAGTTCCCCGCACACATCAGCTCCCTACAAGCTGACTCCTACCCTGCGTATAACTGCTGAAATGTTCAGCTATTACGTGGTTATTTAATTTATGCATTTTAAATCTCTACTTTAAATCATATTACTTTAGTAGTATCAATAGGAAAAAACTAAGTTGATGGAAACTAGTGGAATCTGGGAATTGTGTATGTGGGCAATGGTAAACAAAATATCTCCTGGACCATGCAGAACCTCAATGGTCTACATAAAGCCTGCAGGTTATTCACCACTGTTTTAGTTCCTGATTGCACATCCCCAGACCAGTTCCCCCTAGGGATGTTATATTTAGATTAATGAGCTAGTCGAATAGTCAATGCAATTTGCATCGACTATTTGATTAGTTGATAAGGGCACCTCTACTTTTGAAGTGTAGCAACACCCCAAGCGCTGCTATTCTTCAAAGGCAAAACTGCTGCAGAGAGCACTGGGTCTGCTGCAGATCAAGGCTGCATGTGGTATTTCAAAGTAGTAGACCCGGGCTCAACACACTGTCACTTTGAAACGCCATGTGCAGCTTGGGCCAGCTGGGGACTCTACACCGTGCTGCCACTTTGACGCACTCCTCCCTCCCCCCAGCCTCTTTCTGATAAGGGCAGCAAGGGGGGGAAGCAACTAGTCGATCACATCCCTAGTGCCCCCAGAAACAGCAATAGTAACATAAAATTGTACTAGTGAACATAGCACTTCAACCAACGGGAAGAGCAAAGTGAAACGGAAATCAGCTTCATTGTGTTACTACAACTGATGGCGAGGAGTCCTGTGGCACCTTATAGACTAACTGAAAGCATAAGCTTTCGTGGGCAAAGACCCACTTTGTCAGATGCATGTAGTGGAAATTTCCAGAGTCAGGTATAAATATGCAGGCCAGAATCAGGCTGGAGATGACAAGGTGGATCCAATCAGGGAGGATGAGGCCCACTTCTAGTGGCTGATCTGGAGGTGTGAATCCCAAGAGAGGAGAAGCTGCTTTTGTAGTTAGCCAGCCATTCAGGGTATGTCTACACTACAAAGTTAGTTCGAACTAACTTTTAAGCAAGTATTTTTTTGGGGAAGTGAACTCTGTGGATGCACCTCTGAACACTGTGTCTGCCTTGACCAAGGGCAGCAACTGTGCATGGGGTGCAGAAAAGGATTGGGCATGTGAAGGGGACCATTATGTTGCTGGACATAAGGACCTGAGATGAAAAGGACGTTGCCCAACCTGCTTAAGGTGTGACTGTTACTCCTTGTTGTGGTTATGAACTCTGTTTTTGGTGTTTTCCCACATTAATACCACGTTATTTCCCTCCCCTTTTATTTAAAGTTTCTTCTTTATGCTCAGACTCTGTGCTTGCAGGTGGGGAAGCCTGGCCTCCCAGAGGTGCCCGGGGTGCTGTGTGAATTTCCCAGGTTAGTGGGTGGGGGCTTGAGTCAGTTCTGTGTTGGATGGATGGAGAGGTACCCTAGATATTGAACTAGCTACTGCTGGTGCTAGCTGGCAGAAGGGTCATATTCTGTAAAGAGACACTTTCAGTTGTCAGTATTGCTGAACTTGTCAAATGTTCCTCCCTGCTCTCTTAGGGTATGTCTACACTACAAAGTTAATTCGAACTAACAGACGTTAATTCAAATTTTGTTGCATGGATTGGTTCCTGAGTTAGAGTTATTATGGTACGGTGTGTAGTTGCTGGTGAGAATATGCTTCAGGTTGGTGGGTTGTCTGTGGGCAAGGACTGGTTACCCCTCTGATACAACTGATGGGCAAACAGTATATGCAGGACGATCAGCAAAAGTATGATCTTGCTTTTTAAAGTGGGGAGGATAAAATCTTGATACAGGCAGTCCCCGACTTACACAGATCCAACTTATGTCGACACCCGTGTCCTCCGGGGCGAGAAAAGCTTCTCCCGGTCTCCCTGGTCTGCTGGGGAGGTCCAGCAAAGCCGCTGGACCCCCCCAGCAGACCAGGGACACCCGAGCAAAAGCTACCTGTACTAAAGCTACCTGTATACAAAGCTGTTAGGATTTAAAATTCAAAGCTAGTATACCTGTTGAAATTTGAATAATCTATAAATATTCATAAGCATCTTATGTCAGCCAATGATTTTAAATCATGCTGTTAAGCATCTTTTCTAAGCCAATCAGATCATACCACGGAATCTAATGAATATGCATGAACCCAGACTATTTAAGTCTCTGCCGCGCAGCAATTGCTGTCGCGTCAGGTCTTCGTCGGGCTCGTCGGTTCCGTCGGGATATGCTTAGCTTAGGTTAAGAGAGAGAAAGAGAGCATGCAAGTGGGCTTGTAAAGATATTCTTCTAGAGAAGCTAGCGGAAGGCTATGCTACCTCTATTTTATAGGATATAGTATTCTCTTTGAGTCAGGCTGGCGGAAGGTCAGACCTCCTCAAATAGGTTAGGTTAGTTAGTTTAGTATTTTAGATAGATTGCGGCTCACTACAGGAAGCCCGAGGCAGAGTTGCTCTGCCCCAGGCTTCCTGGAATCAGCTGCTGATCAGTTTCAGCAGCAGCTGACTT